GGGGAAGGGAGGGAGGAGGCAGAGGGATTTCCCAGAGCCAGGAATTGGATTCCAGGAAGGTGAGGCGGAGGGAGGAGGGGGAGGAGGAGGTAGAGGTAGAGGAGGAGGAGGGTGAGACGACTCCGGCCGCCTCCTGCATGGTGAGGCAGGACCGGGGGAGGGAGCTGACGCGGCGAGGAGGATGGAAGAGGGGAGGAGGCTGGAGGAAAGCATGCTGTGGCTTGGGATTGAGGAAAATGGTGGGAAAAAGAAAGGTCAGGGCGGGCGTCGAGGGTGTCTCCGGTAGTCAGAAAGCCGGAAAGGGGAGGGAGGAACGGAATGGATGCTGACGTGACACAAGGGGCCTCATTTTGGCAGCGAAAAGCGAAGGTACGCAAAAGTAGCCACAAAGGCTATGATGGCACTATAAGAATGTGGTATCGCAGTCTATGGACGCATCAATGAGGATAGGAGACAGGGACATCTCTGCTGAGGGCGTGCGCGCAGGGTGCCGCCCATACATGCGCCATCGCAGGCGCATTAAATGTGCCACCAAGCGTTCGTGTCTATTCAAATCAGTTTCATATCGAGCCGTCATGAAGTACTGAGGCCGGTCGTTGCATCTGAGGTTGCCACCTCAAAAGAACAAAACGCAGTCATGCGAGAGATGGAGAAACGGGGTTAGACACAGTTTCCTCCCGGACTTACTGCAATTGCCATAAAAACCATGCACCCGGTCAGCACGATGGAGGGAGCGGTCATGGCGTTGTGTCTGTGCTTTTGAGGAAGGTTGTGATCCATTGAATGGGTCCGTGGAGTGTGTAAATATGACTAGCGGCACCGAGTCAGATCAACGGCATCGATCCGAGGGCTTAACGGCAGCAGAGTGCCAAAAATGTGCGTACAGCCCCGAACCCTCTTACTGCAGCCTTCTGACAAAACTTTCGCATGCCTTGTCGTTACATTCCCTTGGACTGGGATGCAGAAGGGGTCAGGTCTTCACGCTTTGTGTTTTTGCGAGTTTTTTCCCGGTGTCCGAGTCGTGCCCTGCCCCCATGGCCTTTCGAGAAGGAGTGGCTTGGCTTCTACGCTCGTTTTTTCTTTTTCGTCCCCGCATAAGATGCTGTGGTCTTTTGTGATGTTTGCACGCGTCACATGTTTGAGAAAAATGATACCTTCTCGGTGTATAGTCTTTTTTGGTACGGTCGCTTCTGCATTGTTTTTAAAGCGTAGTCTACGCGACTTAGGCAGGAGGCCTACCCACATGGTATTTTTATCGACCGTTTCTGCAATTTAATGTACAATATACCACCACAATACAAGAAGACAGGACCCCTGTGGTAGGGCGTCGACGTTGTCAAGGCTTCATGTCTGCGTACGATGATCCCGATGGGATGCTTTCCGGTGACAGCATGGAGGTGAACGAGGAAGAGGAGGAGGAGGAAGAGGGGGGCGGGCCCGCACGGTCTGCTCTGGAAGAAAGTATCAAACGCAAGGGCATGAACAGCTACTACTACGCACACGGTCGGAAAAACAGTAAGTGTGGCTGTGCATAGGTCCATGTAGCTCCTGTCGTGCTTACGAAAGCGGGGTGAAAGGTAGCACGCGGGGGGAGGGTGCCGTGCAAAGACTTTACTCCGAGCGGCCCCCCGGCATCACACCCATCCTTTCTCCTATTGCCCATGGTCCAGATGCCCCGGCCTGGGACGGCCAAGCCACCCCGCGGTTGATGTCTAGCGTCGCCATGGCGCCGGACCCACAGGATCACCCTGAGCCGATACGTACCTATGCCTGGAGTGACGGGGAGAAACATGTCAAGTGCGTGCCGAGG